AGCCTCGAAAAATAAGGCGTCTGGGATCAACACCGCGGTGGCTTACGGAAACCTGAGTCGCGGGTCGGTCCCTTCGTTACATGCATGATCGAGCTGATGAGTGCTTTCTCTCTCTCTCTCGTGTCGAAAAGGATTGATTGGTGACTGCGCGAGCGTTTTTTTTCTTGATGACGTCTCATAATTTTTGCAATTGATTGACATGTGGACTGACAAGCACCCTTCGATCAGGCGTCAGCCTCCCGTACCTCCCGTATCAACACGACCTTTTGCCTACAATGAGGAAAGAACACGTGTATGTGAGTGGGACGTACGAGAAGCTGTCGCACGAATCAGCGGACAATATTACTTTCCTCCCGAAAATCGTTGCTCTGGATTTGTGGATGTTGGATTTGTCATTATCGATACGCATTTTTCACCCTACTCAATATTGCTCCCCTTTAACGAGATGATCGTCATTCTGTGGACGGCAGTGGCGCCCCATTGGCCTCGGACCCTGTGCACAGAGTGTCAACGTTTCGATCGCTACGAAGCAAAGGGCTTCCACTACCGAATACGGAGTGAAGACGAGCATAAGGAAAGAGCCACGCGGCTGAGACCATCCACGTCCGACTCAGAACTGGTCAGCGAGCGACGACGGGATTTTATACGAAAGCGAGACACGCGAAGCGTGTCAAAGCCCTTCCGCTCTAAACGATGGGCCGTAGCACGGTGGGAAGCTCGACAATATTTTTTGGATTGAATTTGGATTTTTCTCCTTTCGCGCCGTGACCGCGCGCGCATTCCGCGACGCGCGAAAGCCACCGACTTACTTCATCGGACCAACACGGGGGATTTCAGTTCCATCTGTGTCCCCACACTCAATTTTCAAAAATCCTTGGCACACCCCATCTTGCTGTTTTTCAGGGCCTCTTTCCGCACATCTAGCACTACGAACGAAAGACGGCACAGGGCGTGAGGTTGGTATCGGAGCCGACACGTGTCGGTTCTGATGATAGTAAGTCGAACTAGCGAGAGGTAGAAGAAGTCCCCCACCCGCTCGCCGAGATCGTCCAGTGACCAGATCTATATCTAGTACGGCTATACCGGCCATACCAATGGTAGACGGTAATAGGGTGATCGTTAGCATTCCTGCCCCCTTCCCCTTCTTTCCTAACCATACCCACCCCGAAGCTTGGTTGGAAGCCGTTGAAGCTCAAGGTTATAGCTCGGGTGATCTTCCCCGCGTTCTTACCTTGCTACTCCGTAATACGTCACATGACTGGTTTAGAAAGCATGCATGGGTAGATTGAAATACTTTCAAACAAGCCTTCTTGGCTCGATTCGATACGGTCAGTGAAGATGTCGCCTGGTACGTGCTTAAAACTCGGCCACAAGGACCAAGGGAATTGCTGCCCGATTTCGTGGATCGATTTCAAACCACGTTGGACAAATCTGGGCGAGACGAGAAATCCGCTCGGGATTTGTTCATCGATCACCTACGAAGTCCGACGTTGAAAGGGAAGTTACAGAAAAAGGTCCCGCCAAAGACACACCAACGATCTGCTATCATCGCTAAAGCGTTGGAACTAGACCTGGCTGGTACCAAAAAATATATCAGTCAGGGAGATGAGGATATTACGGACACTATACACGATGTAGCGGCTAAAAGGCGATCGTGGTTACGGGCGGTAGAACGGTTTTATCCCCGCCTCGACCATGACCTTCCCGACATCCCACCTGTTCCTTCTTCTTCTCCCCCGGTGAATCAACCGATAGCAGCAGTTAAGAGCAGAATCTCCCACGAACTCCCCTCGCAAGCTGTAACCAACTTACATCTTGCCCAAATGATCCATACGGCCACTACCAAGCAGTCTGAATGGATGAGCAACTTGATCCAAATGCAGGCCGCTCACATGGAGCGAATGGAAGAGATAATGAGCAGGCTAATTAAGCCAAACCCGGCCCCTGCTCGGTCTGCTCCCGCGTCATTTCCACTCTTGACTGCCCCGCCTGCACCAGGATACGCACCTCAGTTCCCTCACCCAGTTAATCCAGCAGGAAAGATCGAGTGTTTTAACTACAAACAGCCCGGACATTTCGCCCGAGACTATCCGCAGCCAAAGCGTAATCAGCCCCCACCTGTTGCGGCCTCTGTCGCCCTGAATCAAGGACGAGTGGCCGCATTGATGGATACGGCCCAAGGAGGGGAACTCGTAGCATATGCCCCAGAACAACTTTCCCCCTCGACGGCAACGGCGTCGACATCGGGAGCTTCTTCCTCTGACGCTGCTGACGTGGTCGATCCACTCGAGTAGCTTCATCTTGCAGGCATGGTCGGAGCGATCCGATCGGCCCCTGATGATCTCGAATGGGTAGATCACGAATCCAATCCTGGTCCGCAATTTCGGACAGGAGAAATTGATGTGTTACGAGCGCTCAAGTAATTGGATATCCGTGTTCCGATCCCGGTGGGACATCTGCTCACCATATCTGAAGCGGCCAACGATAAACTTTTGCAACATTGCCAGAAAAATCAAAAGCGCTTCACCTATCAGCGCATACAGCGAATGTTGAAGAAGAAGGAAGGAAGCGAGGAAGTTGCACCGCCCGAACCCGAAGCCGACGAACCCGAGGCCGCACGTATAGGAGCGATCTCTTTAGCAGAAAAGGATCACTTCGTACGAGCTCGGCCGGTACTGTGGAAGAGCGCGGAATGTGATTGTGAAGTTTGGGGCAAGCCGTTTAACGCCCTTATCGACACAGGGTCTTCTGCAGTGGCTATCTCGTTAGACATTGTCAGGAAGACGGGACGACTTGGATACATTCTTCCTCAATCTGGCAAAGACTATTATGTCTCTGCCGACGAGGAAGCAATGAACATCGTCGGCGTTATTGAGAATGTGGCTGTAAAAGTCGGACGAGTACGCATCCTCGTTAACGCGCTCGTGATAGACGTACGCTCTTATTCTGTACTATTAGGATTACCTTGGGCGATGGCGGTGGGCGCACGTTTGCATTTTGATTCCAAGCAACTGGTGCTCACGCAAACTGGGGGAAAGCCTCAAACTGTTCCCTTGCGTATTTCCACCCGAACGATAAAACGAACTCCTAACTCGGCCCAAATAGGGACGATTCGATGCATTGATTCCGAGGAGTATTCTTCCTCGGACATCGGTAGCGGAACCGGGGAACAGGAAGTCGAAGAAGAATTGCCTAGTGAGGATGAATGGAAGCACCTGGTTGAACTTTTCGAACACGAAATTCCCGAAGAATTTCAAGTGTGCCCCGACACTGCCCGAAGCTTCCACGTGGATTCAGAAGACAGAGCGCTCTCGCCTCTGACAACCCAGGTCAATCCTTCAGTCCTCCTCGGGCAACCCATATTACAAGTGTCTGACCTGGCTGATGATTTGGAACCCCCTCGTACCTTGTATGAGGGAGCACTTTCCTTACGAACACGTTATCAACAAACAGAACAGTATCTAGACGTTTCTGTTTTCCCGCCCAGATCGTTACTAACGACGGGGGCGACCATCGCTTTGATTAAAAAGAAAGCAGAAGCGTTGGTAGATGATGTGCCTGATCTAATGCAAGAGATGACGGACCAAACAGGACTGACTGTGGAGCAGATTTCGGCCGACGTAGAAACTGATGCCGAAGCTAAAGAAACCGAAATGATCAGCCCCGCCGAATCACAGATGATTGCGACTGTCTTCTCCGTTCGCACCAGTAGTTCCGTCTTTTCGAGTATCTACGATCAACGGAAGCAGCCGGTTGATTGGATCGACATACCCCTTCATATTTCTGGGGAATCGACAATCGCCCTGCTGAACTACGTTCCCGCGGAACTTCGAAAGTCATTAATCAATGTTTTGAACGGTTATGTCGAGGTGCTGAGAGTGCATGATAATGATATCGGCTTGACTAACATGATCGAGCATGCCATCCTCACGGGAGAACATCCGCCCATTGGCTGCGTTCCTTATCGATACTCGCCAACTCAAAGAATAATCGCTTTTCACCGGATTAAAGAGTTTGAAGCTAATGGATGGATCGAACCGGCTATAGGTCCATGGTCTTTTCCTGTAGTAATCGTGCCTAAAAAGGCCGGAGGGATTCGCATTTGTATTGATTATCGAAAATTGAATGATATCACGATCAAAGATGTGTACCCCCTCCCCCGGATTGATGAGTTGTTGGATGCGATTTGGAGTGCCCGATTTTTCAGTAAGTTTGATGTTCGTCATGGGTTCCATCATCTTCTTGTCCGAGAAGAAGATCGTCCGAAAGCGGCATTTGTGCTTTTCGAGGGTACGTGGCAGTGGATTCGATGTCCGATGGGTATCTGTAACGCCCCCGCGACCTTTCAGCGAGCCATGAATACGATTTTTCATAATTTCGTGCGACTGCGTGATTGTGTACATGGATGACATTCTAGTGTACTCGAGTTCCTATGAGGGACACGTACAACACATCGAGTGGGCTCTGCATGCGTTACGAGATGCGGGTTTCAAAGTGGCGCTCGAGAAGTGTCAGTTTTTCCTTACCACCATTTCCTTCTTAGGACACGTGGTAACAAACAAAGGGCTCCAACCGGAGCTGCAAAAGGTGGCAGCTGTCAGAGATGCGTCGGTGCCTACGACTATCACGCAAGTTCGTGCCTTTTTGGGCCTGGCCTCGAACTACCGAAGATTTATCAAGGGCTTCGCGGCGATTGTGGGACCCCTCACAAATCTGTTGCGCAAAGATCAGCCGTTGATCTGGATGCCGGAGTGTGATCAAGAGTTTTCGAAACTCAAGGCCGCTCTCATTTCGGCATTTTCGGCGAAATTTTTGGCATTTTTGGCGATTTGATCATACTCGGCAATTTCGGCGATCCTTGCCCAGGTGGGACCAAGTGGATTCGAGAGCGTGGTGGAGTATGCGTCCAAATCAGTACCCGCCTGCAAGCGCAACTACGCCGCCCCAACGGGAGAATGCTACGCGGCACTCTGGGGAATCAGTCACTTTCGCGCTTACCTGTACGGGCGGAAGTTCACCTTGGTAACCAATCATGAGCCCCTGTTGGCTCTGAATAAATCAAAGGATTACTCTGGTATGATCGGGCGATGGGAAACGGTGCTGCAGAGCATGGACTTTGACATTCGTCATCGGAAGCACGAGAGACACGGGAATGCGGACGGACTGACACGACTGCACCGGCCTGAGAAAGTTCCGAAGAGTGAGGAGGTGATTCCGTGGAACGAACCCGAACAGGAGGTTGGGCTCTGGTACGGCCAAGTGGAGATCTTGTCAAAGCAGTAAGTGACACAAGGACCAATTTGTCTGTTCTACCCTCTCCGCAATTCAGTCTCATCCCTCCTCCTCTGTCATCATGACTACCCCACCTGCCTCCGCAACCCCTTCATCTCCTACTAATTATGCCCCTCTCACTTCCTCGGCTTTCTTTGCCACCCTCCCCGATAAATTCTGTTATTTTTGCACGTGTATTGCACGGGTTTATGGGGTCGACTGTCATCCTTTCAAAATCGGGTTTGTCGATTGGGTAGAATGTGCCACGTGTGTCAATCGTGCGCACGGGGCCTACGTTCGATATCGGACGAGTAGCAAGGAATGGAGGTGCCCCCTGTGTAGAACGAACAAACTCCCAACGGATGTTCGATTCGAGGCCGCCCGTACAGACGGCCCTGAATACAACGAAAAATACCGACGAGCAGAGGTTTGGACGGATAAAAATTTATTGGCGAAATTAGCGGGATTATCATTGGGACACCTCACCAAACACGACAGACGTAGGGCAATCAAGAGATCTCGGGACTATCGGTGGATCAACGGTCATTTGGACAAGCGTAAAACTGACGGATCGGGTTCGTGGTTGACGGTTCCCCATCCATTCCAGAGATATGATTGGATCCGATCGGCTCACGAAGAACAGGCCGCTCATTTCGCGATACGTGTCACGGAGGCAACTATAGACCTGAACCGATGGTTCTGGTCCAACATACGAGATGATGTCAGATACATTGTCGCCAACTGTCTGGTCTGTGCCGCTGATCGCGCCCCAATACGGGGACCAAACACGATAGTACCAATGGAAGTAGAGCGCCCCTTCCAGCGAGTCAGTATGGACACAACAGATATAGACGTGCCACCTGGCCCAAACCGCTGCGAATATTCTATCCTTCTAGTATTAATTGACCATTTTTCAAAGTACATCGAGGTCTATCCCTGTAAGACCCGCAAGGCCGCAGAAATAGCCATGTACATCGATCGGTTCCTCTACACTCATCTAGATACGGAAGAAATTTTAACCGAAAATGGGTCCGAATTTAAGGGAGAAGTAGAGGAATTGCTCGCACGAAGGGGCGTCACGCTCCGACATACAGCACCCCACGTGTCCCAGGCGAATGGGTTGGCCAACCGTATGATTAAAACCGCCCTTCGCAGGAATTTAGCGGCCCACGACACGTGTCCGTAGCCCGAGATCGTATATCAGATCGTTGGGATCCACCGGCCCACCCCTCACGAGTCCATGGGGTTTACCCCTTTTCAGCTTCGTACTAATAGCCTTCCCTGTGTCGACTACCGGGGTAACTCGAAAATTGCCGAAGCAGGGGGTAGAGACACGCGTGCAGCCCTCAAGGCCAAGGCCAAAAAGTACACCGAATTAATGGAGCGGGCCGTCCCGAAGTTAGTCCGAAAAAGGCAACGGATGACCGATCTGGCCCACGGTAGGCAGGTCCGTAGCTCCGAGGCTCGGAATGGAAATGTTGGGGCCCAGCATCAATATAAATTAGGGGACCTAGTGCAGGTACGTGAACGTGCACGCGACCGGAAACCCGCTCCCAAATTCTCTGGCCGCTTTCGCGTTGTCGAGCTATGACCCAACGGCGCCAATACGGTGCGCATCGCGCCTGAGGCTAGTGCCAGCCATAGCTCTGTCCCCATCGTCCGGCATACCTCCTACCTCCGTCCTCTTCCTCCCTCTGATCTTCCTCCCTCTTCTTCCTCGGAAAGCGAGGAGAACGACGACGATCTAACTCTTTCTCCGCTCTCTCCCTCCTGTCCTTCGTCTTCCTCTCCGACCTCGCCATGAGTTTCATCACGGAGCGAGCTCTTGACGAACAGCTGTTGCAGCCACGTGGCCATATCTCATAAATTCGGCAAGTTCGTCATCCAGGGCTTAATACGGATCTTCGGCGTCTAGCGCAGTTCTTCTGCGACGTAGGTGTGTGTGCCGCCGCCGCGTTTCGAATCGAAGGGAGTCCACACTCAGTGGTATTGGCGGAAGTAATCGCAGTTCATCGGCGAGCGGCTCCCGGAACGAGCCACATCACCACGGTTGCGGCGTTCAGCGGCGACATCAGTTCGGTCAATCCACGGTGGCATACCGCGATCTTGACTTCGCTGCGAGAGTGGACGGAGCAGGTGTCTAACGTGTGGCAGCACGGTCTCGCGCCGGCCAGGCACAACCTCATCCCGACTTTTGCACTTGATCTTGGCGAGATCCGCCGTTCTCCGCGCGAGCCGCCGGTTGCGATCCCCACCCTCGTCCCTTTCCCACGTCCCCAATGAACCACGCCGACCCCCTCGCTGCTCTTTCCATCTTCGGTCTCCCCTCTCTTTTCCCCACCTTTTGGCAGTCCGATCTTTATCCTTCTCTTTCCTTCTCGTTCGAGCCTCTTTCTGTCCCGCTCATTAATCCTGGGCATTGGCGACTGTGGCGTGAAACTTTCGACGAGCTGTCCTTCTGCTTGGCCCGAGTACAGGTGACGTGGATGCAGACCAGCGAGCATCCTGCGTGGATCGAAATTTTGGAGTTGCTGATCATACAAGCCTGGAGGACTAACGTCGAGGGCGATCTTCTCAGCTTTCTCTTTGGATCGGTACCGTCGGGCCGCCGCCAGTTGATTGCGCAGGAGCTCATCGCGTCGATCGTGCAATTGGCGGACGATCTCTCGCCTGACATCTATTCACAAAGTGACGACAGCCCTGCCCCGTACGTTCTCGAGCGGTCATTGGATCCGTACCTACAGTGGACGGCGTGCTTGGAGGAGCCCAGGGACGAAGATACGTTACCCTCACGGCAGGAGTACTTGAAGCCTTACAACATCATCCCTCACGCCTTCTATCTGAAGGTGGAGGAAGTGGTGATCGACGACGAAGAAGAAGACGCCGACGAAGAAGACGACAACGAGGAAACGTCGGAGGAAGGAAGCTATAGCGAGTATAGTGAGGGTGAGTTGAGTGAAGAAGAAGAAGAGGAAGAAGAAGGAACCGAGTCTGAGTGGGAAGCCTTGCCGGAGGAAGCAATGCGCACGGGCACGGAGGCGGAAGATCCTGAAGCCGCACGCAAGCGGGAAGAAATTGCCACCGGGAAGCACCAGTTGGAGTTAGCCAGCGGAGCAAGCCTGCGCATAGGTGACGATCCGACCAAGAATCCGGAGCCGTCGAAGCCCGAAGATGGCGACCCCGCAGCCGCCACCCCAAGCACCTCACGACGGAGACGGAGCAGATCCTCCTCCTCCTCCAGTCCCACCCGTCCCCCAGTTCGCCCACGTACCGATGCGGGCGAGAGGCCTTCGTCCTCGGACGTTATCCCGTCATCCCCTTGATTTTCTCACCCTCGAACAGATCCGCACCCCCGTCACCTTCCCCCTCCATCCTTTCCTTCCCCATCTCTTTCGCGATTTCTACTCTACCCGCCTACTCGCTACCGTCTACCCCCACCCATCCCTTCAGCCCGCTGCCCCCACGTTCTGCTGGCATATCATGTTGTTCAACGCTGCATGGGAGCGATGCAACGTGGTAGAAGTCTACTGCGTAGCCACGGGGGCAATCCCCGCCTGTCGCCACTTCGAGCTCTTTTGAGCGGCGCTCCGCACCCTCTCCTCCTTCTATCGCGACTACCTCGCTTTCCTCCCTCATAGCAGCGATCACTTCCCTCACTTCCAACGGATCATCCGATATGAGGAGCTTCCCGTGACGGCAGAAGGGATGAATCGCTACCTACCTCCACTTCCTCCCCGTCGTCCCCGAGAGATCCCCTCCATGTACCGCCTCTATTGGCCCAGTCCAACTAGGCGGTAGATCCCCATCACGTGACTAATCCCCCCCCCCCTCTCCTCTCTTCATCTAATTGGCAGGGAAACTGGCACGAATTAGTACGCTTCGCGAAGATCACGCCATCGACGATGACGTCAACCTACGCTCTGATTCGACGGGCAGCAACAAACTGGGGTGCAGAGCACACGAAGAACCGGCGGACGATGATGGCGTCACCTGGACGACCATCAATGATTCCAGCAGCACGAGCCAACAAGATCCCCGAAAAGATTGCAATTGAGGATGGCGTCAACCTGGACTCTGGCTGGATCGATTGTTGATACGCTTGGTTCCTAATGCATCACTCTGTTCTCTCTTTCTCTTTCTCCTCCTCCGCCATAACATGCAATCAGGAGATCGCATAATTTTGGAACCCCCCACGCGTCACATATGTGACGAACTACTTCTCGAACCCGTGCTTTCTTTCGTACCTTTTTTTTGCTTGTATCATACCAACCCCATAAAAACCCCGTTTCGTTTTCTTGATTTCGGGTGCCGCGTTTGGGCCCCATCTTTCGGAAGCTTTTACGATTCCCGGGTTCTGCTTTTTCTTTCTGGAATTCGAGAAATACATAGGAATTTACGTGCGCCTTAGCGAGCGCACTAGGAATTGGGACCGGCGGTTGGGAATTTCGAGATAAGCGGAACTTCGACGTGTTCCTTTTGTGTATGAATGTTCTCGGTCGCGTTGGGGAAAACTCTTGGAATTTTGTGGGGATACGAATAGGCGTAGGACTTTATTTTCCCACGTCGCTTTTTCGCGCACGGATATGGTGATTTCAATTTTGAATTGGTTTAGGACATAGGCAAGCTGTAACTGTTTCGGTGCCTTTTTTTCTCTCTTTTTGTTGATGGTGCCGCGCATGCGAAGCTTTCTCCTCTCTGTCCCCCGCATCGCTCTCTCCCGCGCTCCTTTTTCCTTCACCCTCCTCTTTCTCTCTCCTCGTAACTGTTTTTCTCTCTCTCTCTCCCGCTCTGCTCTTTGCGCGCCCATTTCCGTTTCTTGATCATCTGAATCTTGGACCCGTCTTGCGCTACTTCTCGCGCCTTTTTCTCTTCTCACCAGCGMACGACGCCCGGTCGATCCTTCGATAACTCYCGCTYGCCAATCAGGTACGTGGATCAATAGGATCTTCCTATTGCGYRACKAATCKGATTGGTTGAACCTTGAGTCTCGAGGGATCAACATGGCTTCCAYRGAGCGCTCTTCTCAAAGTCTTCTCCTCCTGCTTCTCCTCTTACACCTYAACTTTCYCTTCGCTTTCTCCTCCTTCTGTCTCCCTTGTCGCAACTATAAAATCCGCAAGCGCGTCCRCAAATCTCTCTTACRTTCTCGACTCCCSAGCCAGCTTCCGGGAAGCAGKGGCTAGGCAGAGTGTTTGGTGCGAGTCGGAAAGTCCTGTCGGGCTGAYGATAGGCTGGCCGGTTGYGCGCTTGATCRCCACGACGGACTGTGGGATCCGAGCGAACCGCGTCGAGTTTACGTCGGCGGGGTAACGATCGCAGTGGTGGGAGTTAGCACGCGACGGCCGGGATCGTCGGTGCGGGTAYGAGGATCGATGATTGGAGTTGAGTGAGTGATTGGCCCGGGGCCATATTGGAATTCATGGCGAATGCGCCTTGTTGTTGCGGATCTTTATCTCGGGCGTGAGTGTACGGYGGCAACGYCGAACTTCCTCTTTTCGGATCTTGTCATCTTCTATCTCGACATTCCTCTCCCGTCYCYCTCTCTYTCCTCTATCTTTGAATGATGATGTGTCTCGATGATTGTCTCTCTCTCTCTTGAATGGGAATGAATATGTGTGCTTTCCTGGGTGAAAGAACTTCTTCCGGAACTCTTCCATTAGTTTCCTGGGTAATCCCCAGATGTCGAGGAGTTGACCCTCTTGTCTTGTGAACAGTAGATGCGTGTGTACACTTCCCTTGGTTGATTTTCGACCTGTGTACCCTTGCCATTTTCGCACCTTCCACAGTGAATGTATGTATGAAAATACTTGCATTTTTGCATTGATTAGGCGCCGCACTCAGCGGGATTTTGTTCGAGAATGCAAGAGTGTTTATATTTGTAGTTCTGAATGCACTGCACATGTCATCTGCCTTATGCTGCACGACATCTGCAACCGATCTACAAAGCAGCCTCGAGAAATAAGGCGCCTGGGATCAACACCGCGGTGGCTTACGGAAACCTGAGTCGCGGGTCGGTCCCTCCGTTACATGCATGATCGAGCTGATGAGTGTTTTTTCTCTCTCTCTCTCGTGTCGAAAAGGATTGATTGGTGACTGCGCGAGCGTTCTTTTTCTTGATGAGGTCTCGAAATTTTTGCAATTGATTGACATGTGGACTGACAAGCACCCTTTGATCGGGCGTCAGCCTCCCGTACCTCCCGTATCAACACGACCTTTTCCCTACAACGAGGAAAGAACACGTGTATGTGAGTGGGACGTACGGGAAGCTGTCGCACGAATCGGCGGACAATATTACTTTCCTCCCGAAATCGTTGCTCTGGATTTGTGGATGTTGGATTTGTCATTATCGATACGCACTTTCCACCCTACTCAATATTGCTCTCCTTTAACGAGCTGATCGTCATTCTGTGGACAGCAGTGGCGCCCCATTGGCCTCGGACCCTGTGCACAGAGTGTCAGCGTTTCGATCGCTACGAAGCAAAGGGTTTCCACTACCGAATACGGAGTGAAGACGAGCATAAGGAAAGAGCCTGAGACCATCCACGTCAGACTCAGAACTGATCAGCGAGCGACGATGGGATTTGATACGAAAGCGAGACACGTGAAGCGTGCCAAAGCCCTCTCGCTCTAAACGACGGGCCGTAGCACGGTGGGAAGCTCGACAATATTTTTTGGATTGAATTTGGATTTTTCTCCTTTCGCGCCGTGACCGCGCGCGCATCCGCGACACGCGAAAGCCACCGACTTACTTCATCGGACCAACACGGGGGATTTCAGTTCCGTCTGTGTCCCCACACTCAATTTCCAAAAATCCTTGGCACACCCCATCTTGCTGTTTTTCTGGGCCTCTTCCCGCACATCTAGCACTCCAAACGAAAGACAGCACAGGGCGTGAGGTTGCGCGTCACAAGGGTGGCTGGGAGAGGGGGGGGGCGGCAGCAGGGGCAGGGGTAGTGGCTGGGGAGGTGGGGGAAGTGACGGCGGCTGTTTGTGAGGGGACGGGAAAGGCAGGGGAGGCCCAGACTGGTGGTCAGATACTAGCACCAAATTATTCGGGAGGAAAGGGACTTCGAAATGGCGAAGGGATTTTCTTTGCCAGTATGGCTCCGATGTCCTCCACAGCTTCCATCGTATGTTGTGGGCAGCATCCAATTCAGAAAATAATTTGGACGGGTTCTGCTCTATGAAACCGCGCGCTGATTGAGCGCGCGGTCGACGCTAAAGTTTTTGAGCGCCGCTCAAAGTGCCTTAAACCACCAGTACTTGGCCCAGCTATAAGCCGCAGGCGATTCCCGTTAACGCGCCGCATGTTGGGGGGGTCGTCCACCTACTAACTGGTACTCCGAATTTTGACGCTACAGTGCCAACGTGAAAAAAAAGAAAAAGGCAACTTTGATGAATGAAGGGCCGTCGGGGATAGATAGTCCAACAGGCTGTGCACTGTGTGCAGAAGTTTGGAAAGTACCTGTCTAAGATGTGGGATGGATTCACTACGTTTTTTTTTCCATTTTTTTGTGTCTTTTCCTTTTCTATAGATCCCCTGGCAGTCTGGCAGGTCATTTTCCGTGATGCTCTCAAAAGCCCTCGTTGAGGGCACACGTACACATAAATGTATGAAACCGGTTTTAGGGGCAGAGGGGTGGACCACGGATCAGATACTACCACTGATCAGAACAGATACTACTCTTGATCTTAGCCAAAAGGCCGAGAAAGGTATTGTTCTCTTTTTTGTCTTCTTGTGCCAAAGAGATCTTGCAGGAACGTATCGGGGCTGACACACCCTCGCACATTGCATGCTCATACCAGCACTTCCGTGAATGTATTCTACTGCATTCACGTCCCTATTAATGTTGTTATTTCTTCTTTCTCTTTCTTTTTTCTTGGTACTGGTCCCCGCAGCCTCGGCCCGTCCTGCGACTGGTACTGCCAGGCTAGGCAGGCTCGGCATACCGGTCACCGGAGTCTCGGACTTGATAGCTGGGCCAAGTACTGGTGGTTTAAGCGGGGTTTGAGCAGGCGCGGGGATATTTTTTTTTCGGGTAAAAAATGCGCAAAAAAAAAAAAAAAAAAAACTTATGTTTTTTATTTTATTTTTTGAAGTCTCGCTATATTTTCAAAAAATCAAAAACATAAAAAGAATTAAAAAAAAAATAAAAAATGAAATGACTCAAATGAGTGGGTTTTTCTTTTTTTCACGGGGATTGTTTGGCGGGCAACCAATAAACAAGAAATATGTATATATTTATATATCGTCACAAACAGAACTGCCTGGCAAACTGTAGGCAGAGAGAGAGAAGAGGACAACAAACGAGGGGCGGTGACAAACTGTTTCGTCGGAGAACTGTAGGCAGAGAGAGAGAAGAGGACAACAAACGAGGGGCGGTGACAAACTGTTTCG